TAACAGCTGAGTAGGAGAAAAGACTTTCTGGGGCGATTATCAAACTTTAGAATTCATTTTTTCCAGAGGGAGTAGAAGAAAGGCGCCTTTGCCGGTTAAACCCTGAACAAGAAAGTGCTTTTTTGAAAGCTTGGCAGTCGACTCAGAAGGGCTTTTCTGAGGCCCCGCAAGAAGAAGGTATAGAGGATCGGGCGTGTGCCAGACCCGCACAAATAGACGATGTAAATGCCGGGGTTCTGCGGCATGCGGATTCAGAAAAAACCCTCTGAGATCGACTCGCTCTGGGAAGGAACACGAGTAAACCGTGAAGAAAAAATCAGTTCTTCAAGTGTTTGGTAATCCAGTCAGAAATATGATCGACGTCTCAAAAGTTCCTATCCATACAAGGAAACATGACTCTTAACAGTGCAGCGCGTTTTTCGAATAAATTATCCACGATTGGTGTCTGGAACGATGGATAACGCGCAATTTTAGTAGGGGATTCTAGGTAACAGCTGAGTAGGAGAAAAGACTTTCTGGGGCAATTATCAAACTTTAGAATTCATTTTTTCCAGAGGGAGTAGAAGAAAGGCGCCTTTGCCGGTTAAACCCTGAACAAGGAAGTTATTTTTCCAAAGCTTGGCAGTCGACTCAGAAGGGCTTTTCTGAGGCCCCGCAAGAAGAAGGTATAGAGGATCGGGCGTGTGCCAGACCCGCGCAAATAGACGATGTAAATGACCGGGGTTCTGCGGCATGCGGATTCAGAAAAAACCCTCTGAGATCGCCTCGCTCTGGGAAGGAACACGAGTAAACCGTGAAGAAAAAAATCAGTTCTTCAAGTGTTTGGTAATCCAGTCAGAAATATGATCGACGTCTCAAAAGTTCCTATCCATACAAGGAAACATCACTATTAACTATTAACAGTGCAGCGCGTTTTTTCGAATAAATTATCCACGATTGGTGTCTGGAACGAGCACTTTGGGCCCATTTGGAAAAAAATGCCGGTGAATTTATGTCGAACAACAACGGGCCTTAATGCGACCGAATTACTGAGCAACCGAATAAATCCGAGCACAATAAAAAGCACCCTCCACGAACCCATTTTATAGGCTAAAAGACGTGCTTTGCATTCATAACTCAACGAGAAATATCGCATTGCCAGATAAATGTCAGCTAATCAATACCATAGCCAAGCATTACAATGAAAATATGCTCGTTATGTATGCATTTATTTTGGTCATCCGGCCGACATTGTAAAGTGACGCTTTTCATATAAATGGAGATAAATCGGATGTGGAGTTTCGTTTTTAATTTAATTGTCGATTGCCGCACCGTAAAGCGAATCGCCGAGCAGGAAATTGAGCAAAAAAAGCAAAAGTTTGGCAGCAACTCGGCATTTTCCTGCTGCCGTTACCACAACGATTAATCCCCGGCTAAGCCTGGAACAATATCCAGCCTCACCTATTATTACTAAGTTTAATTTGCTGGCAATGCCTGCCTGATGTTCTATCAGATGAAGAGATAGGAGTAATTAATTTACACGTTATTATAACGAACAATTCTGCGTAATTATTGAAACAGGAGGAATTATCGCTGATGCTTAAAGTGAGCTAAATATGTTTGCGTTAACACTGTTTAGGGATTACATTAGAGAGGAACGCGAAACCTGCCGTTAATTTTATCGGAATTTCCCAAACTTGAGGTAACGAACGTGTTTTGGTATTGGCTGCGGTCCAGAAGGGCGCAGACTGACTGTGTTCACTAAATTGGATCTATTCATCTTCATATTTTGGACAAACTGCCAAATCGCATCGCCATGTAGTCGATCAAGGTAACACTTTAATCAGTCCAAAGATAATTGGAGATTTCCTAGTTATGAATGTGCCAATTATAT